AACTCGCTTGACCGAATAATTTATTTTCCACTAATTAAAAATTGAACTCAGACCTATTGATTTAGATGCTTGAGAGAACCCATAATCAGCGAAAAACAAGATATAGTAATTTTAAGTGAATATGATTATTCTTTAAGATTTTGGGATTCAAAATGTCTTTGAGCGTCAAAATTGGCTGAGTTCTTCATCATCATATGCAATCATTTTTGCCAAAAAAACAAATTTGCGATTCAACTTTTAATAGTAAATTACTACTAAAGGTCAAATCGCAAAATTTTTTTGGCAAAAAATGATTGCATTTCGGTGAAAACTCAGCCAATTTTGACGCTTAAAGACAATTTTGAATCTCAAAAATTGAATGATCAATAGTCAATTAAATAATCATTCAATGTTTTTTAAATCATACGTTCATTGTGAGGTGACTCGTGCATACGGAGATATTGCTATTGAAATCATGATGGTTCCTTTCATAAGTGCATTCACACCAAATTCTCTTGTCAAATCTGAACAAATGTCTTTAAATCTTTCATGCGAACGTCTTCAATAAATGTAATAAATGTAATACGTAGTACCCTTGCACAACTGTCTGCCGTAATCAACAGTCTTCTAACGACACGTCTCTCTCCACACCTTTCCTACCTTTTCCTTAATTCCGATTCCGTCAAAACGTGGTACACGTTGTAGCGGGTAATGTGACCTGGCCGCAGTTACCGAAAACGGGATCAAGCCATATGACTCGGGAGCATTGATCGACAAAAGCGAAGGCATTAAATAATTCTAATTCGGGTTTTGCTTGAGGCGAAGCTCCATTGAGAACAATAGTAAGGCGTCTCTAGTATTCACATGGTGGAACTAAAGACATTGTCATGTGAATGTACATGAATTACTTATCGTTAGTTCATAGATTCCTCCCCCCGATACTCTAAATAGCCATATTGCTTGAAAGATCTTAATCGCAGTAGCAAAGCCCCATTGCTGTTTGTAATGTAAAAAATCCATTGATTTCATGTAACTAAACGAAGAAGGAGTATATAGATAATAAGTAGGATCATAATAATATAGACCATCTAACCCACGCCTTCTTTCGAATAGCCGGTGACTCCTAAAAAATAAGTGACAAATGATGAATCATTGTTGATGTATGGTGTCACTGGTTAAAAGTGACTTTTCCGAAGCAAT